TCTGAAATAAAAGCCAAGCCATTCTGATGTACGGGGAGCGTAGGCTAAAGCCAGTGCTGTAATGAAATGTTTAGTGGTATACAATGTTAATGTCTTATTTGTTTGTTTGTTTACATTCTTTGGGTTCAAATGATCCAAGTCAGCCTCCCAGTTAGCTGGAGTTACAGTGGCATGTGCTGCCATACCCAGCTTAATAAAAGTTGCCAGGTGATATGTTTAGATGCTTTAATTTTCATAAAAGAACTTTTGTACTGTGTATGAAGTCCATATATAGAGAAAAAGAAGTCATTTCATGGTGTTACAGAGTAGAAAGGCCTCACTTCATAGGAGAGTTGTATCTTGGGAAGGAGATAGTCTTATTCCTCAGTGACTTGGGAGTAAGAGTCTCTTGATTGTTATTTGATATTAGTATGTAATATAGTAATTTGTTTAGTTATGTTAGCTTACGTAGTCTTATGTATAAAGTGTATTAGAATAAGCTCCATTTTTTTTGTAGCTAAGAAAGAGAAAATAGAAGTAGTGGTCTGTGCATATCAAATGCATCATGTTTTTGGTGTTTTGTTTTTGGTGTTTTGTGACTCTCTCTGTCTTCATGGTCAGAGCACTCACTGTAGGTTCAGGCTGGCCTTAGGCAGTGTGAACCCTCTACCTCAGGCCCAGAGCGTTGAGATGAGAGGCATGAGGCATGCCTGCTGAACTGAGTTTTGTCAGCAGCAGCTCACAGTTCCAGGATGCTGTAGGAGGGGTATTGGAATTATTAATACATTTCCCCTCGTGCTACCAGTTTAGTGCTGTGTAGAGCCATTATCGCTGATGACAGTATGTTTTAGTATATTTTGTGTTTTTAAGTCTCCTTCCCCTACAATTCTCTGTTGAAAGTAAAACAAAACATACACATCTGGGGCAATAGCTTGTGATAGTAGAAGGACTGGAACCCCAATTACCAGAATAAGATAAAAAGCCAGGTAGGCATAGAGTCCCCATAATCCCTGATTTCCAAAGGCAGAGACAAAGGATCCCCCAGCTAAGCTAGTCAGCTAGATTCACTGGAATTGAGGAGAGACACTGTCTCAGTACATAAAATGGAGAATGACTGAGATACCCAAAGTGTGCTTGTGCTCCCCCTTTCTCTGTGTGTGTGTGTCTGTCTGTCTGTCTGTCCTTCTGTCTGTCTCTTTCTCCATGTATATAGAGAAATGAATAACTTTGTAGGAACAAGTATGAAACAGCATTATGATGCTAATTTTCTTATATTTCTCTTAATATAAGAAATTTCTTCCATTTTCCATAAAATTAGAGGATCTTCCCATATGATAGTTTGAAAGTCTGAGACATTTACATTTCACAGAAAAACATGATTTTGTGACAAAGTAGTTACATTCTGACTGAGAATTTATTAACATTTGACAGTAGACTCAAAGACAAACCTTTTAGTACAAAACCAACACTCTTTTAAATGTATTTTAATGAAAAATAGTTTCTTAGTAGAAAATAATAAAGTGCTTTCTATGGACTTGGGAAGTGTATTTGTAAAAGATGTAATTGAGCTGACGAAATGGCTCATTGAGTGTGTTCTGAGTTCAGATCCTAGCAATGAAGTAAAAACACAGGCATGGCCAGCATACTGGTATCCCTGCTATATATTGGGTTAGGGCAGAGACAGGAAAAATCATTGAGAGTTCCAATGGTTGCCAGCCTAGCTTGGGTTCCATGAAAGGTCCTGTCTCAGAGGACTAAGACTGGGGTCATGGAGTAGGACACCTCATGTCCTCATCCTGAGCTCTGTGCACAGGCATCTGCATACAGTTTTGTGCACACCTGGCCTCATTTGTAAGTGTAATGATAATATCTTTTATATTCACATGCCCTCTTAAATTTCATCTATTTATAAAAATATACTTAACCACCTAAGGTAAAACTAAATTAAAGGGTATGTAGGCAAACGTCTTATCTATAATGTATTTCCTTTGTAATTAAAAAATTTAAGTATAAACATGGAGTCTGCACAGTCTTTATTCCATTAGGGTTCTACTTAGAGGCCTACCTACAAAAAGGGTTTTATTTCTCCATAAGACATAGGTATGTTCATATTTAATTCCCGGAAATTGCAAACTTCTTTAGAGCACATGGGAACTGAGCTTGTAATTTCCTGGCTCCCTGGGTTCCTTTCCTGGGAGCTTTGGTCAAGTCTTTGTCTTTTGACCTTGTATAGGGATGGTGCAGTTAACCGGTTGGCTGGGTATTCAAGTGGTAAGTGCAAGCTGAGTGCAGGGCCAGACGCAGGGCCAGATGCAGGGCCAGATGCAGGGCCAGATGAATGGGGATTGTTCAGTGCCCTGCGATTTGAAAGAGCATCTAGATGGACTCCTGACTTTAGAAGTAAAGGTTCCTCCCTTCCCTGTGATTCTTTTAGTACTTAGAACAGTAAAGGTAAACCCATTGTCATAGTTAGGGTTTCTGTTGCTTTTGTGAAACATCTTTGTGTGTCTCCGTGCCGGAAGGCTTTCCACCAAGATCTCAGGCCCAGCCAGGTATGAGGGTTCAGGCCAAGGGGATAGAGTGTGAGCAGGGAGGGGGAATCGCCTCTGCTGCCTCAGCTGCAGCCTCTGCCCGAATCTTTGCTGTTGACACCCAGTTGCTCCTAGATGTTACACCTGTCGCTCTGTGCTGAGCCAGTCAGTGCTGAGCCGGTGAGAAGCTGACAACTGACCAGCTAGCATGGAGCGAGGGAAAGGTCGTGAAGGTTCTTTCGGGAGAGCAGATCTTTTCCCAAGTGGTAGCGTTACAGTTCTTGCGACAGAAACTCTCAGACAGTGGGATGATTCTCACACACCTTTACTTCTCCCGGATAGGATTCTTATATACAGTTTTGGGGTGGGTTAGGGTCTGGCAGCAGGTAACTCCTATTGACTTGGTCTGAGAGCTTGGAGATACCTCATCTACATGTGGGAGAGCCTGAGGCACTGTTCCTACATGACTGATGGCCATAGACCTCTCTGCGGGAGGGGCTGTGGAGGGCTGAAGCTAAATGAGAGGAACCAGGGGGCCCAGGAGCACCTCTAAACTCCTACCATCCCTTTAGGGTCTCTGGGGTTCGAAGCAGGCTCAACTAGGTACCCCGCTGCCTCTCACAGCCCACCGCCCCACACATCATGACCGTAAACAACTTGGAGAGGAAAGGGTTTATTTCAGCTTAGAGTTCTACATCATAGTAGTCCATCACTGGCACTGGCAGGGCAGGAACTCAAACAGGGCATGAAGGCAGCTGTGCAGAGGCCACACAGGAGTGCAGTGTACTGGCTTGCCCTGATGGTTTGCTCAGCCTGCTTTCTTAAAGCACACAGGACCATCTGCCTTGTTTGCTTTAAATAGAATTTGGTAATTAGAGAAAAACTGCTATGATTTTAGAAGTTGTGAGTTTTTTTGGAGCTGGAGAGATGGCTCAGTGTTTAAGAGTGCTGGTTGCTCTTCCAGAGGACTTGGGCTGAATTCCCAGCACCCATGTGGCAGCTCACCATTGTCTGTAATTCCAGTTCCAGTGGATCAACACATTCACACAGACATACATGCAGGCAAAACACCAATGCACGTAAAATGAAAATGAATGATTTGAAAAGTTCTAAAAAGAACGTGTGATTTCTCTCTGTTGTTTGTGACTGTAAGGAGCGACAGTGAGGTTGCTCTGTGGCTGTCCTTGCTCTTCTGCTCCTCACTTCATTTCTGTCCTCTTCCATCATTCTCAGTTTCTTGTAAGAGAAACCAATCCAGGAATCCTAACAGTCATGGTGCTGGAAAGTTCTAGAATTCTTTGCCAGAGTCCCCTGGATGCTGCAGATCTGACAGTAAGCAGCGTTGCTTGGGGTGACTGTGGTTGATAGGTGAAAAGAAAGGTTATATTTTGCTTTGTTTTGTTCTTCTGAGATTCTGTAGCTCAGAGAACTAAAGGGTTTCCTTTGGTTGATAGACTGCAGGCGTTGTCCTTAGCAGGCAGTCCTTTCAGAGTCCGTCTCTGCCAGTTTATGGTCATTGATAAAGAAAAGCCAATTCTAGTCCCTCTTCTTCACCCAAAAGGATTATCAGGTGACATAGGAACATTTCTCCTGGGCTGTCTTTTGGCATTACCTGTTTTCTAGAACAGCATCCTCTTGTTCCAGACCCCTTCTTTCATGTTACCCCACCATCCCCTATCATGGAGGCTTGTAGATGCTTTGGCTTTTTCTGTGTTTCAGTTTGACTTAAATAAGAGTTAAAGTCAATTTGTAATTAAACTTGTCTATTAGGGTTTATTTGCCAATCAAACTGCCTCTATGGTTAATGGATTTCAGTTATTCATGTAGCATCTAGTTCTCACCAAGAAGTCTCTCTGGCTAGGGGTGGTAGTGTAGGCCTTTTATCCCAGCACCATGGAGGCCAAAGCAAAAGAATTAGGGGTTCGAGGCTAGCCTGGTTATGTAAGGAGACCCTTGTCTCAGCTCCGTCTATCCCCAAACGGAATCACCAAATAGAAAAATCAAACCCACCCCCTCTGCCTCTTTTTATTAAGACAGGGTCTTAACTCTGTAGCCCAGGATGGACCAGGACTTGTTTTGTGGTCCACACTAGCCTTGTACTTGGAAACCTCCTGGCTCTACCTCCCAAGCTGAAGGAGGGCTTGTGTCACAGGACCAGCTAATACTTACAAAAGGACAACACTAGAGAGCCCCAGAACAAAGCAAAGCAAACCGTACACTTTGTTTTCTACTCGAGGGACATATTTTTAGTAGCTGGCAATACTCTGAAGGTATTCTTTTTTTCAGAGTTTCTGTTATGAAAGCTAAAAATAAATGAGAATGAGCTTTAAAGAACAGAGCAGGACCTCTGACCCCATTGTTGTCGTGCTTTGGGAAAGTTAGCATGAGATTGAAATGTCTTCTGGTTTAGCATAGTCAGTAGCTGGAATAACAGAATCTTTACAAGTTAAATTAATGCAAATATCTGTCTTTGTTTTCCCTTTGTTTCAGGTTTCCCCTCAAAAAACCTATAAGGTAAGTTGTTCAGTTGCTTTTATACGGAAGTTGGAGTTACAGTTTAATTAGAAGCATTCCTTTGAAATTACGGGGATTTTTGTGGTTCTTGAGAGCATGGACTTAAGTAGTGCAAACTTTCATAATGCTTCACGGATTTCAAATACAACAGGTGTTGCATATTTTTTCTGGAACACAGCCTTGTTTTGATGATATTTTCAGTGTTTTTAATGTAAGCATTTAAAAAGTTTATTCAAATTGACACTTTAAGGTCACTCCCTATGAAGAAATTTAATTTTAAAATCTGTGACTGTTTTGAATTGTGAGTTGCTTGGGGAGGTGCAAATGGATCGTTGGTTTGGTTATGTGTTGTCACGTGACTGCCTTTAACTGTGTTGTCTCCTTTAAATGAACTTTGTGTGGCTTTAGTCTTAGTTATTTTAAGACAATAAAGGAAAAAAGTATAGAAAGTATTTAGATTCTTTGTGCCTGTGTCTGTCACATACATTTTGAGAGTCTCTGACACTTGTGTCTTAACATCTTTTCTTCTCTCTCCTTAATTATCGTAAATATTATCTAAAGTGCAATATACCATTCCTAATAATTGTAACCTCCCAGCTAGCTAGAAATGTGTGTATCATAGCTTCTTCTTTCTCAATCGTCCAGCCATCGTCTGATGCTTGCAGTTGGTTAAATCATAGTAAAACACAATAATTCTGGTGCCATTTTGGGCCCAGAGGTGGCTGATGAAGGCTCCAACCCTAGGAAGGCGAGTCTTGCCTATGTAGGTTTGTTTTTATGACTTGTTTTTACATATGTTATATCTCTGTAGTGATTTCAGTTTGACTATAGTGTATATAATGTCAGGGAATGTGTTGAATTCTTTGGGGTACTGTTTTCTTATTGTTAGATGGAACTATAAAAATCAGTAAACTATAGGCAGTTATTTTAAGAATAAAATTAGCTTTAATATGGAATACTAATTTTACTACTTGAGGCCCTTTTATAACTAAGAATATAGACTGTAGTATATATAGCACAAGTTGAATTTTAAAACTTTTTGACAAAAATAGAGGCTTATGCTATGGAAGAAAAACTTATTTCCTGTTTTTTTGTTTTTGTTTTTGTCTGTTTGATCTCTGGAGAGATCGCTCAGTGGTTTAGAGTGCTTGCTGCTCTCTCAGAGGAGCAGAGTTTGTTCTCTGTAACGCACACTGGGCAGCTCACAGTCTCCTGTAACACTAATTACAAGGGCCTTTATACTGTCCAACCTTCATGGGTAACACACACACACACACACACATACACACACACACACACACACACCCCACTGTAAACAGGTTCATTTGTGTAATTTTTATATGAGGTTTTATTGTTATGCCTTTTAAAATAGTAAATATTTGATTGTTTTAACTTAGGCATGGAAGTATTTTGAACCGAGAGTCACCAACAGATAAGAAACAGAAAGTCGAACGCAGTTCATCACATGATTTTGACCCCACAGGTAAAATTCTCTTGTTCTTCCAAAGAATGTTTTGCAAATAGTATGTTCAGAATCATAGAACTTATGTGACTTGAGACACGCAGACGTGGTTATTCCTACCCTCTCATACCTTGCAGTTGTGTGTCACCGGAGTCAGCAGGAATGAGTGCATACTTCACACAGCATTGCAGACGCCACTGTGAAGCGTCACTGTAGGACTCGTGAGAGTCGGAGAAGTAGACATGTCCAGATTGGATACTGAGGGTACACTGAAGTCTTAGAATCAAGGCGAATCATGGTGCACGTACCCATGTGTCATTACATGAAGGATATTGACCACTGGGAACTTGTGCGTTCTCTTAAAACTCAGCTGTGATCGTTGTGAATTGATTAGCTGCAGTGCAACTCAAAAATTGATTATTGCATTTGAATAGACAAACGAATGTAAATTCACTATTTTGCCTTCCCTACCCACCTTCCTTTTCTTTCTTTCTTTCTTTTTTTTTTGTTAAAGGGGTGGGGGCAAGATAGAATCTTTCTCTCTGTGTAGCTCAGGCTGGCCTTACAATTTATGATCCTCCTGCTTCAGCCTCTCAAGTGCTGGGATTATAGGACATGCCACAGTGTTTAGCAGAGATCCTCCTGCTAAACAGGATCCCTTTCTTCAATCAAGCGCTTTGAGCTCGGTGGTCGCTTAGCCTGTTGTGTTAATTGTCCCGAGAATTTTCATGTTGGCCGATACAACTTATATTCTTAATATTGTGCACATGATTGAATTCTGCTGCCTTTTCCCTTCCCCATGTAATCTCAGTGTTTGCTTTGTAGATAGTGCTTAATAGTTTTTTTATTAGATATTTACATATGTTCTTTGAGCAAGTATTATTTTGTTTAGTTGTGTGTCCCGTGACAAAAGACGAACAACACACCAATCTGAGATAATTACATCTTTTAAAGACCTTTTTACTTAGAAATGTAATTTTAAATATTTAATAGAATATTTTTGTGTGAATAATTGAAATATTTCATACTTTTGGAATAGTTTTCTTAATTTTAAACAAGTACTGTAAGCATTTAAGAGGGAAAAACTAGGAAGTTAGCAATGAATAATTTGCTTTGCATCTTGTGTCATGGTCAAGAAATTAACAGTTAGTTTAGATGGTTTTGGTGGTGTGGTGGGAGCCATAACATGTCACAGGTCTCCATGAAGAGCGAGCGCTGCACTTCTAATACCCAGGACCCAGGTCATGGCCAGAGGCTCTTAGATATTTCTGTAGCTAGTTATTGTCTTTAATAATGGCCACACGCTTCACTGCCGTAGTCTTATTCGTCTTGATATTCTGCACGCTTGTCTGTGAAGTGCCAGTCTCCACAGAGCCTGCGCCCTTCTCCGGGAGCTGAGTCGTTTTCAGTGCTGTTTTCCTCTCTACAGTTATCAGATGATACGTTGTGTGGAGCAGTCACCTGTTGTTTTGTTTGTATTTTTAATTGCGCTCTTTTCTTCCATAATCTGTACATATGTCATTCATCACCTGTGCTGTTTGTGACTGTTCCAAGTGCTGTCATCTGTGATGTCCGTACTTCATGTTTGCACGATTTAACTGGATCATGACTCGTTCTTTTATCCCCATGAAATTTCCCCCTTCCATTGGTCTCCATATTTTCTATATCTCTCCTTTTCTCCCGCTCTTGTGCAGATAGCTCCTCCAAGAAGACAAAGTCTAGTTCAGAGGAGAGTAGATCCGAGATCTATGGTAAGCTGACGTAGCTAACGCGGCCTTGCACCTCTCCAGCTTGCTTCATGCTGTCTCAGTTTGTTTTTGGTAACTGCAGCCTTTCTCGTCTGCTCTGCATGGCATGATCTCCTGCAGGGAGAGGGAGCCTGGGGTTCGGTGTGACACGGAAGCTTAAGATCACTAGAAACTAACATGGCAGGTCAGGAGGAGGCCGTGGTACCTGTTTCCTCCTTGCTTATCTTACGACAGTGGGCTCAGTCTCCCTGAATAGCAGCGATGGGCTTTGAATTGTTGGCTGCTTCTCTGGTCTCATCTGCAGGCTTTGAGTTAAGTAGAATTTAAGCAGCTCAGTCATTTCTTATTCTTACAGGAAGTGACATCATCTATGTGTGTTAGCAGTTCTTTGAAGTTTTTTCGTTTTATCTTTTATTTATTAATTTTTAATTGGTTTATCACCTGGAAAAGGCATTCTTATAAGATGTATCTCTAATTGCAAAATTTTTTAAGTATTTTATTTTTAGGCTTAAAACATTTATGCCTTCTGAAAGTTTCACTGAGACTTGCTCATAATAGGAAAATTTCAAAACACCTTTAAAAATAATCCTCATTGACAGTAAGTTTAACCTGGACGCTGAGCTTTTCTAGTACACCATGAAAGTGGAATACTTCCAGACTCTCCTGGCTGCGTAACTATGGCAGACTGTGTGTCGTTCATAGGGCTTTTCCTCTTCGCTTTTCTGAAACTTTTTGGAACATGGTTTTACTGTGCAGATTGACCTGAACACACTGTATAGTTCAGCTGACCTCAGACTTGCAGTGTCGTCCTGCCTCTGCCTCCGGAGTGCTGGGATGACTTGCCTGCACCAGCACACCCTGCTACCTAGTTAGTTAGCTGATAAGGCAAGTGAGGAAGGGATGAGGCATTGTCAGGAGCGAGACTAAAAGCTGTCACTGAAGACTGAGCCGATGAAGTCTTCTCTACCAGAGCCAAGGTCCGTCGGATGGAAGTTTACTCAGATGGGTCTGGTCTTCCTTGGCACTATACGAGGAGGAAAATGTATAGAATTAATTGTCCTTCCTGGGAACATTTGGAAATTGATGCCTGCTGATAAGACTTAGTAGCACAGAGCCTTAGTGCTCGGTTCTGAACAGGTATGTTTGTGTTAGGTCTGTGCTCACATGCTTCTCTCTGTTGTGCAGTCAAAAGGAAATGTTTGCCAGGCCTCATGACAGGCTGAGTTTATGCTTTCCTTTCCTCTAAAGTCGTGTTTAATGGTCTGTGTTTCTGTTGTAACTAAGGCACTTCCTGTCTTTTTCTTTGCTGAGGACTGTGAACATTATCTGTGCATCTCCATTCTTCTCAACAGCCATTTCAGTGTCGTGGTTCACCTTGGTCACTGGTTTTCTAGATTTTGCTGTGTGTAGGAGCTTTTTCATGTTGTATGAGGACTAAGGATCTAGGGATCTGACAGAAAATACTGTACTAATATTTTTCTTAGCATGAGGAGCTCTATGCTAGTCCAGACATGGCCTGGTGGTGACAGAAGCATCTAATGTGCTCAGGGAGCAGGCCTGCTTCTCAGTCTATCTGTCCCTGGAGAACCCTTGAAACACCTGTTTTGGTGGTGGTTGTTGGAGGAATTGAACTAGGAGTTCCCAGTAAGCCCTCATTAGAGGGATGAGTTAAGTATGACAGCTAGCATGCCTCTCTCACTGTGAATGTGTGTGGGGAGAGCTACTTTAGACTGTGCAGTTAGCGCAGGTGAAGAAGTGTTCTAGGGAGCCAACGGGGGTTTGGAGATGGTGTATGACTGAGTGGAGTCCTAGCAGCCAGGGACATTCTGCTCCGCAAGGGTTTTGGTATCAGCCCACCTCAAGCTGTGGACCTCTTCTCTTGAATAAAGTTCTTTAGTTGAGTGCTCAGTATAGATGTCACTCAGATAATTTCAAACTTATTTTGTCATTCTTAGAGTTGCAGGTTAGATTGACTGTTGATTGTTTGAAGAGGACAGCAAAAGGATTGCTTTGTAGAGACTTCCCTTGCACAACTTATCAGCGTAGCCTGGTCAGTGTTCTGTTTGTCCCCTGTACCTTTATGGGCATATTTTCTGAACTGTAACTTTAGTGTGCTCAGTTTTCTGTTGTGTATAGATATTTTTGGAGACAGGTGCTCGAGTGCGTGTGTGCATGTGCGTGCGTGCGTGCGTGCATGCGTGTGTGCATGTGCATGCGTGTGTGTGTGTGTGTGTGTGTGTGTGTGTGTGTACATTCCATCTACCCCTATCTGGCCTTCAGTTCCTAATCTCTGCCTCTACCTCTTGAGTGTTGAGCTTACAAGTATACCCCATCATGCCTGGGTTTGTTGTTATTGTGAGACAGAGTCTTGCTATGTGATTCTGGCTGGCCTTGAATTCAGTTTGTGGTCCAAGATTGGCCTTAAGCTCAACACAGCTCTTCTGTGTCAACTTCCTGAGTGCTGGGATAACAGGTATATCTCTAATACTGTAATGAAGACCATTGTGGGTTACTTAAGGGTATGAGGGAGTCTGTGTAAGAATAAATCATGTCCCTTAGAAGCCATCTTAGACCACATGTGCTGTCATAGTGAAGTGCCTTGTGTGGCATGTGTGCCTTGGCTCATGTGGTTAGAGGACAGAGTGTCATTTTCTGAGTGTTCTAGAAGCTGGACGTCTGATCCATACAGGTGAGGCTGGTGAGGTTGCAGATGGCTGCCTTCTTCCCCTCCTTCACATAGACCTTCTGCAGAGAGAGAAGGGTGTGGGGTTGGAGACACAGACTGACTTCTGATTCTGTTACGAGAGTCTCACCCTCCTCATCTCTTCTAACTAGCTACCTTCAAAGGCCTGCCTCTAGATTACATGAGGAGTTAGGGCAGCAGTGTACAGGTTTTGAGGGGATATGAACATTTAGACCATATGAGAACCAAACTGTTAGCAAGTATCCCTTCTCTAAAATCCTGGAGACCAGATGTGTTTTGGGTTTTGAAATACTAGGATATAAGCAATGCATTTGTAGGGAGTCCTGGCATAAACTTTGCTTGTGTTTCATACATAGTATATGTACTAAGTCGACACAGTCTGAGGGTATAGTACTTGTTTCATACATAGTATATGTACTAAG